ATATATAAATTTAATTTTGGTATAATAAATTTAATTTTTTTTATTAAAAAAATTTTTTATTGTATAATAAAAAGTGTTCACAATAATATGGGCATCCTCTGTATATAGCTAGTCATATATACAGTAGATAAAGTTAACTATAAACATATATGTATAATACTTGTTGAGTATATGTGGCACTGCCTTAAAAAGTTTCAGTGATTAAAGTTCAGTATTACTGTAATTGTACTGAAAGCATATATTTCAATAAAAGATGTGACACATATGTGAGTACTTAATTAATAACAGAATACAAAATAACAAATAGAAATACAATACGAACTTTAACCATTTAATCAATAATTATTATATACAAGCTAATAGAGTCTTGGCACATTAGCTTAAGCCTCTGTCCTTGGACAAGCTGACAACAACAAGCCGATATGCAAGTTTCTTAGATATAACTTTATTTACATATAATAAACTATATATAATACACAAAAATATGACATATATAAAGTATTTAAAAGTCAATAAAACAAGGCTCAGTTGATGTTTAAAAATAAAAAATAAACACAATTATATTTTATTCAGTCATATATCCAATCAAGCATCTCTTTTTTTAAATCAAATCTAAATTGAAATCTTTAATAAAAGTAAATTATATGTGTTCAAAATACATATATGATGTTATAAATGTATTAAAATATTCTGTATATGTTATAGACAGTCATATAGTGATCTATTGTAATTGAAATTAACAAAAATAAAAATATTGAAATATCAAAAATCTTGAAACTTAAAAAAAACTCTTTCCTGAAAATCTCGCATTCAATAAAAACTATCAAATAAGGAAACACAAAATTTCGTTTCAAAAAAAAATTGCCAGAGACTCTGGAGAAGTCCCCTTCTCCAAGGGTCAACTCTCCAATTACGAACACATTCTCCTGGATGTTTTCATCACTGATATTCAAAAACCAGAAGCAGTCATTATTTATAATAATACCAAAACAAATAAAATTATCATTTCCTCATCAAACTCCTCCCACAAACTTCCAAAGCTTGAAAACACTCCACAATTATGGCTTATGCCGGTGCGCTTCACTAATGAAGGTTCAGAAACACCCAGAGTAATTGCTGCCTCTTTCAAAACATATCAAAGAACTAGAATCTCAATACCAATAACCATTGCCAATATCACTTACTTAAATCTTATGCCAGCAGATTTCCTTAATGTCTTTTTCGATTTCCAAAATATATTTGAAATAACTAATGAAGATAGAACTGAGTTAATGAAAGAGATCATGAAAAAACAGCTAAACTATAAACTACACATACCTTGGAACAGACTTGATATTCTCTTCTTTAGTACAGACAATACTTTTTCTTTGAAGCAAAAAACCAAAACATCCAGACTCCCTCCAAATACATCAGCTTCAAATGAGGCAATAAGTGATGACAATGAAATACAGGATGATTGTTTAACTGAAACATTACATGCAGCTATCCCTGACCACAATACAGATCAAATCAGCCCTCATGCAATGTCAAGCGCCACGCATAACCATAACCAAAATAGTTCTCTTACACCTGCCACACTTAAAAACAGCACAGAAATGAAAATTGATGAGCAAAATATACCAGCCACTATTTTAACACAACCTGAGTCAACTCCAGTCACAGTTACCACCTCCTGGGCAGATGAAGTCAATAACATTGAAACTATCAGATCCAATATACCATTAACAATTGAGGGAGACATTAGGAAAATCAATGGTTCCTTAAAATCAGAAAGAAAGGTTTTTTCAAAATGAAACCAACAACCAAAGCCATAATAACAAAAATAGGATATAGAGATTATAGCTTCTTCAAAACTTTCACTAAAGAAATCTTTCTAAAGGATTAGCACCAAATTGAATATAAGAAACTGAAAAAAGATTTTCACAACAATTATCTAAAAGCCAACAACATTGGCTATATTAGTAGAACAACCCAGAAAAAAATTAGGGCAATTATCAATAAAGCCCTCTTCACCTTTTTAAAATCCACAGATCTTGCTTCTCTTAAACACTGGCAAATAGCTCAGTACTTGGAATATGGCTTCAACTTTTTTATCGATCCCACATCTGAGAAATTGAATTATAAAATCTTGTCACTCAAATGCAAAAAAGCTATCAAAAGCAAACTCCCTCTATTACCCATCCTGCCCAATCTCATTCCAGTTTCAATCAAAATCAAGCTCCCACATGTTATTTTTATTACTGCCCCCAGATATACAGCAGATGTGACAAGTAGCCTCAGAGCTTACTATAACTTTGATCAGCTTCTTGCCTCATTTTTCATTCAGAGACCACCAATTCCTGACAATCCTAATGACCTTAAGCCTAAAGTTAAAATACTCTTTCCTCTAATCAAATATAGTGATCTCAAAAATCTTGGAAAACTCATCAGCAAATTGAGAAACCATTATTTTGTTTCCTCTAAATTGCCAGATTCTTATTTTAATCTTTCTCCACCAAAATCTATACTTTCACCTTCATATATGGATTTATCTTTTGAGCTCGCACGTCACTTCTCAGTAAAAAATAATTCTGAAACTATTCACTCAGTTGTGGACCTTCTTAGATCCAACAACTTTGCAGTCAAGCGACTTCCAATGGACTATATTCAAGTCAAACGTCCACTCCCACCAGTCCATTGGTATAGTGAAAACAATTCTATTTCTCTGCCAATCCAATCACAAGAGGAAGTTAAAAACTTTATTCAAACACTCAAGCAAAAGTCCTTCTTCAAGCTGCCATTAGAAGCAGAATGAATCAATAAAAACTTGGTTCAGGATGAAAGGTCTCACATTCCTAAGAGTGTGGAGGAACTTAAGTTCCAACTTAACATTACAGATGACCAACTATATAGAGACTCACCTACCATTTCACAAACACTCAAAAAAATTAAAGATACATATCAAGGAGCAATTTCATGAGAATGGATCTCACCTGTTCTTTCAATTCTACCTTCAATGGCTGAAGCCCAGAAGCAACTAAACAAAATTGATATCAATATAACACTTCCATTAACTGATAACTAATATCTGGCTCCTGCCATAAAATTGCTCAGAACCTATTTTTACTTCGACAAACTTCCATCAACATTTATTATTAAAAAAGAGTCGCCTGATCCAGGATTGACTCTTCTTTCATGTCTCTATTAACCATATCAAAATCAGCTGCATCCAACTTTTCATTTTCTTTTGCACAATCTTCACAAACTAATCTCTCCTCAAGCATTAAAAACCTTCTTACAATCTCCACACTCAATGTTCAAGGGCTAAATCAAAAAGAAAAGTTCAATAAAATCATTAAATCTATCAACAATGAAAGAGCAATTTTTTGTTGCATTGAAACCAAATTCACAACAAGTAATCCACTATCTAACAGAATAAATAACAAGATAATTATCTCTAGCAAACTAAACTTAATAGCCAGCAATGGCACCTGTATTATTCTAACCACAAAGGTGTCTTGTCACATATTCAATACCTACACCGAAAATGAATTTTGATGTGCTGTTCATCTCAAGTTCAAATCCAAGATGAATATCATTATCATCTTAATATACCTACCACATGAAAAAGCAATCAGATCTGAGGCCATACAATTTCTCAAAAAATTTATAAACTTACACAAAAACAAATATCTAATAATCATCGAAGACTTCAACTCCTATCCAAAAGAATCACCCTTTATAAATACCCCATCCTCCTGTTATAAATAGCAAATTTACAGATATCTCATGAACCTAATTGATATAGCTAAGGTTACCAACAAAGAACACCTTTATACATACATAACAAGCACCAGTGCCTCCAGGTTGGATCAAATCTGACTATCAATAAACCTGGCCAGCAAAATTTTTAGCTACAAAGTCTTTGACTAGACATTTATTCCTACTGACCATAAGATGATCACGATAGTTTGGACTGGTTCGAATACAAGCCAGACCATATCTCATTTACAACAAAAACTTTTCAATTTAACAAAGCAACCAAAGAGCAGATTAAGTCAATAAGAGAGTCAATAGAACTTACATGCATAGGAGTAAACTCCTTATCTTGGGAAGAAATAAACCTAATAATAAAAAGAGCCATGACAGATAATATTTCAGTAAAGAAACAAACATCACTATCAACACCCAATAAAGTTTTTCCCCAATATGACATCAATATCAAAGCAATAAAAAGGACTTTAGCCACAATATGTAAAATGCCATATCAGAAAAACTCTCCCAAATAGCAATCACTATATATAACAATATTACCAATAGTCTGCTATCCATTAAGTCTCTCAGGAAGGTCATGAAAATCCTTTTCAAGAAAAAAATAGAAAAGGTCAAGCAATTGGCCATTAATGAAATTAGAGATCGCATAGAAAAAAATTTCCTCAAGTTTTGGAAGAAATCCAAAGCAGCAATCAAGAAAGCTTTAGGAGACCTGAAACCCTCTCTGGACCTTTCCATTTTCTCTGATAGTGAACAGCTATATGATAATCCAAATAAATTAATTGAGATTATTACCAACCATTTCAAAAAAGTCCTGGATCCCAAACTGTTTGACTTGGACCAGTTCTGATCAAGTAAATATACACCCAAAAGCTCCCTCCCTAACAATATCTTTTATGACACCATAGTGGAAATTACACTTGATGAAATCAATAAAACTCTTTTATCTCTTCCCAAACAAAAATCCCTCAGCCTCAGTCTAATTTCATATGAAGTTTGAATTAATCTGGTGTTATGGGAACAATAGAGATAAGAACGCGATATTGTGGCAATTATCAATAAAGCCCTCTTCACCTTTTTAAAATCCACAGATCTTGCTTCTCTTAAACACTGGCAAATAGCTC